AAAAAGAAAAAAATCATTAAAGGGACAATTTCAGAGACTTCTCTCGAGGTTTCGCTCTATAACACTCATCTTTCACGTGGTTTATGATATTACGTCTACTCTTATAATTTGATTTTTTTTATAACCATGTTTTAAACCTATTTAAAATAAATATAAATTAATTATAATTTTTTAACAAATTTATCTCTCTTTATATTAATTTCTTCATATTATTAAAAAAATAACTTATTTAATAAATACTTTAAAAAATCAATATGAAGAAGAAAAAATGTGTCAAGTCAAAATTTGAATTATATTTATTTTAATAAAGGTTTAAAAGATGATTAGAAAAAATTAAAATAAGGAAAAATAAGTGTAATATCACAAATCGAAAAAGTGAGTTTTATAAAAGAAACCTGAAATTATCCCAAAATAATAATTCGTGGGTATGTAAAGTCGATAATACCTCATATTATTTGAAATGGTTCTTCAGTGTCATGTTTAGAGGAGATCAGAAATGGCGTCGAAGCTAACTCCAAAGCTCTTCTCATGGCTGATTCTGCCGACGTTGCTTCTCATTTTCCTCTACTCTTTATCCCTTCCTCTTTATGCTCCTACTTCTCCAAAACCCAAAATTCCCATCTCACCTTCTTGTAATCTCTTCAAAGGCAAGTGGGTCAGCGACCCGAATCGCAGACCCATTTACGATGAGTCCTGCCCCTTTCACAGGAACGCCTGGAACTGTCTAAGAAACCAAAGAGAGAACATGGGTCGGATCAATTCTTGGAAATGGAAGCCCGACAAGTGTGATTTAACTCGGATCGACCCAGTTGGGTTCTTGGGTTCAATGAGGAACAAGAATATTGGGTTTGTTGGAGATTCGTTGAATGAGAATTTCTTGGTTTCGTTTTTGTGTACTCTTAGAGTGGCTGATTCGACTGCAAAGAAATGGAAGAGAAAGGGTGCTTGGAGAGGAGCCTATTTTCCAAAGTTCAATGTTACCGTGGGTTATCATCGTGCTGTTTTGCTTGCGAAATATGAGTGAGCACATTGTTTTGTTCTTTTATCTTGTTTTGATATTGCAATATATTCCTTGGATTCTTGTTATAAATTGTGTTGTTTAGTAGCAAATGCAAAAAATAGTTTTGATATTGTGTTATTTTGTAGCAAATGCAAAGATTAGTTTTGATATTGTGTTGTTTAGTAGCAAATGACGATCTTTTACTAGATATTATTGAGTTTGCACCTAATCATGGTTGCTTATCAACACTAAAAGTTGGAGAATTCATGGCTGTACTGTGAGTTGTGGATCTAAGTTGTGGTTCCCTATATTTATATATTGATTATACAAAATAATGGCTGAGCAACTCCTGATTTGAAGATCATTTCCTACGCACAGCTTATTTCGAATTCTAGTTCTTCCGAGAATAATTTTGAAGGAAGGAGCTTTGGAAGGCTAGGATTCATAGTGCAATTTTCTAAGAAAAAGTCTTCATTCCAGGATGTTTGTAGCATTAATTTACTTTTGCTACTTAAGTTTTCATATGCTTGTATTGGCTAATTTAGAAAGTCATATTTTTACAATGAATTTGGAGCTTTTAACTTGAAACTCTTTGTTGTATGAGTTATAACCTGTTGTCTGGCTGAGTGCTCAAGTGGATAATAGAGCTTGAATCATGACTAGCTTCAGTTTCTGATATCATGAAGGGATTTTGTCACTAGAAGAGTGTAGGTTAGCTTCTTGATACGGCTGTTGCTCCTCAATTTTCTTGTAAGAAATCTGCTGACCATTTACTTTAATTTTTGAAAAAGTTCTCGTTCTGTCTGGTTAATTACGCTAACAGAAGTGAAAACTGTATCCTGTATACCATTTGCATTTCAAAGTTTGTCCTCATTCTTAAATGTTGCCAAAGTTGGATATCAGTCTGAAGTATGGTGTGAGTTTTCTTTGAAGTCATAATCTTACTTGCTCATTACTGATTAATTAAGGTGGCAGCCAAAACAGCTAGATGACTCCAACCAAGATGGATTGAAGGGAAGATATCGAGTAGATGTTGATATTCCAGCAGATGATTGGGCTCATATTGGTGCCTTTTACAATGTTCTAGTCTTCAACACTGGTCATTGGTAATTTTATTTTATCTTGATAAAGTGGTCATTGGTAATTTTATGTGCCTTCTTGCTGTTTTTGCACATTAGTTGATATGTCTATCACTTATGTGGTCCAAATAGAATGACCACTTCTCTTTCTCTGTTGATTGTGAAATATTGTCATTTTTGTTCAAAGTTTTCTTACATAATATGTTAACAAATTGAATAAAGCATCTGGATGACAGTGGGTTGTTGAGTGAAAATATTAACATCAACTACCTGCCCAACCTTGCAAACACATCACCCCATATGGATGGAATCTTCAGCCACCTTTGGATGCTATGCTAACCACCTACCTGTACCGCTATTGAAACTTGCAATGTTCTAAAATTTATTCAAAAGACATAAAGGTCTGAGCTCCCATCTATCTTCAATAGCATCTCACATTAATCCTAGAAAATAAAAATAAAATTGATATGTTGCCAAAAAAACAAATTTTGCCATATTAAGTAGAATTTTTTATTTTATTTTTAAGTGGAAGGTGTTATCTTTGTTCTTTTAGATGTGAGTGTAGTGGGGAAGAAATTGAAGTTCCAGTGGAGAATGAGCTAGGTAGATCAGCTGGTAATTTGTTGTGTGCAGCAACTTTGGACTGTTAATGATTCCAATTGTGTTTCTTGATAAAACTAAATGATTCTCATTGTGTTTGTTCAAACTTAAAAGCTAGTATTCCTGTAATCACAGGTCGGGCTACATTTGAGAATAAACCAACTAAGACTACTGTATGATTTTTCTCCTCCTGTAGACACATATTGGTATTTGGTACACATCTAATTCTGGAAAAATGATGGTTCAATTTTATGTGTTATTTACTTTTTCTTGTTGTTGGGGGAAGAGGGGAAAGAGGCTCAGTGGGAGGGGGGAAGCATCATCTTCTGCTCTTGGTTTCTGTATTCCTGACATGACATTTCAAATTATTTCACCGCATCTAGTTATTAACATATTATCTCGAACTCCTTTGGTTTTAATGGTTATCAATATCTTCTAGGTGGGGCTTTGACAAATTCCCTAAAGAGACGCCTCTTGTTTTCTACAAGGCAGGGCAACTGATTCAACCTCCATTGGAGATGTTTGATGGACTTCAGGTTGTTCTCGAGAATATGATTGCATTCATAGAAAAAGAATTACCAGAGGAAACACTTAAATTTTGGCGCTTGCAATCACCAAGGCACTTTCAGGGTGGTGATTGGAATCAAAATGGTAGTTGCACAGTGGATGGACCCCTTGGTGAACTTCAGGTATGCACTTTTTGGTAAATTTGAAATTTTCACTTTCCAAAGGTAATCAACTTGGTTAGTTACTAACAAAGTTTCCCCTTGCATACTAATAGAAATCACTTGAAGATGCATTGCTTAGGCTAAAATCTTATGTCAGGAAAGTTGAAAAATATGGATAATTTGTTAAATAGTTTAGGCATTTAGCAAGGATTTGCCTCCTAAGAAAGCTTATTTTGTCTAACAATTGATACAGAAGTATATAACTTAACATGTTTGTAATCTAATAAGTGATTTCCTACTGATAGAAAAAAGTGTTAGTTCCCAAATTTACATTTTCTCAGACAATTAGGTTCCCTGTATACTTTTTTGACAAATTATAGGGACTATTATGCACTAGAAAGTTTGTTACAGTAAGTAGTGACAAGTTTTCTGAAGAAAATCTTACTGATACCTGAACAGCTTGACCTGTGGTTTGATCCCAGATATAATGGGGTTAACAAAGAAGCAAGGCGACTAAATCATCTGATCGAAGAGGTTTTAAAAGGCACAACTATCAGAAGCCTCGATCTGACTCACTTGAGTGAGTTCAGGGCAGATGCCCATCCTGCAATTTGGTTGGGGAAAAAGGATGCAGTGTCAGTCTGGGGTCAAGACTGTATGCACTGGTGCCTTCCTGGTGTTCCAGATACATGGGTTGATATCTTGGCTCAGCTAATCACTCCTCATATTTTGGAGACAGGGTGATCATTATAGATGGTTGCAAAGCTTCCGTGAATCATTTGCAACTGAGCTCCTGATACATCAAGATGTGGGCTTTTTTGACAACAATCACAAACTTGCTGATCTGAAGGAGGTGGTAGAACCAGTTCATTATTTTGTGTTCTTTCCCTTACATTCTTTCTATCATTTGGAGGGGTAGGGGTTTTGAGATTTCACCTTTGAGACTGTTTAGCCATGTTCCAGGGGCTTTGGTTAGAGATGATGTTTTCTGGTGCTTGCTCTTGGGAGGAAAATTGGAGGCTGATTATAAGCCAAAAGGCCTAGAGTTTATACTAAGTTTTTTTTTTCTTTTTTCCCTTTTCAGTTTTCACCTCATACCTCAGTAGGATTTGTTCCCCACTTCGAAACTTTGTAGAACATGTATAAACATTGCTATATATATAATTTTTTTGTTTCCATAGTGTTGTCTCTTCTTTTTCAAATTTTATGTTTTTGGGTGGAGGAGGTATAATGTATTATTATAATCGTGTGAATTGTAAAAAAAGATTTGTTCAAGTTGCCCGATAATAATCTATTCTTTTTGCTGAAAATGGCTTTAATTTCTTGTCAATTCTCCCAATTACTCTTCGTTTTCTTTTTACTGTAAATATTTAACTACATTTTATATGTTGTGGAATTCTCTTTTTCCTTTTCTGCAATAAAATTGGTTTGCTACTCTCAAACGTCAAAAATTTATGAATTGGGATACTCTATGAAATTGGTTCATCATTGTACTACAAATGGCCGAATAAATAATTTTAGAATATTCCTTATACCAAACAAACCCTAAAATGTGTTTGTTGAACAAAATTAAGTCATAATTAAATTTTTTTTTGAATAATATTCTTCATTAAGTGAACTGTAAAAGATAAAATTAAACACCAGACAAACATTATAGACTACTGAAAACAGAGGCAGTCGGTGCAAAAACTTGAACACTAGAAGCAAGCAAGCGAACCCCTAGAGCCCTAATAATCACATAAATCTCATTAAAAGAAAAAAAAGAAGAAATCTTAAAAATCCCAAAATATCAACGCGAATCCTCTCACCATGGCTTTGAGAATTCATCTTCTTTACCCAAATCGTTTTCCTTCACAATTCACAAAGTCCCAAACCAATTGGGTCCCTTCTATGTATACCTTCAAGAATCAACCCAAGTTTCACAAAGTCTCGTGCACCAACAACGACGACGACGACGACGACATGAGCGATATAGACCTGGCCTCAGATTTTGCAACAGAGGTTGGAAAGATGAACACCCAGATGATACAGAAAGAGGAGGCGTTGAAGAAAAGCAAAGAGCTTTTGTTCGTTGAGTTTTGCAACTACACGGGCTTGAAATCGGAGGAAATGAAGAAGAAATGGAAGAAATTCAGTGAAGAGGAACAATTGGTTTTGATTAAAAGTTTTGTTTTAGAATGGGGTGCCCATTTTCATCCATTATCTGCTAGGTCTGTTAAAGAATTAGTTGATGAGTACTTAGTTGAAAACACTTCTGACTTCAATTCTTCTTCTTCTTCTTTTTTCCCTGGTCTCAAAAAATTGATGGGATTTTCAGGGGATGATAATGAATAGATTGGATTTCAGTTTCCCTTATTGACTTTTAGCTTTAAATATTTCTGCTTTTGTTTTGTTAAATTAAACAGAATGGGAATTTGTTTCCTTCAATTTGGAAAAATGCCAAAAACATCTTATATACGCTTTGAACTATATGCTAGAGTTGATGTAATTGCCCACTTTTTTTTAAGCCAAAGTAGAAATAAAAAGAAACAGACAGAAAGAAGTTGAGACAGTAAAGTGAGAAGCTTCACAAAGCCCTCATGAACTTGATATATTATGAATACTCCTCTGGATTCAACAAATGGATATATACTCTTCCGTAAGAAATACAACTGCAACTATGGCAGACTTTCCCGCAATCTGAGGGAATCCCTCGTGTAATGTTGGCTACCTATGGCCTAAAAAAAATAATCTCATCGTGTTCTGTGTACTCTAATTTGATACAGTTAAAACTAGCAAACTGTCAGGAAAGGATCTGAAACGATGATCATTCCTGATTGAACTTTGCTGAACGTTATTGACCTTTTCTAGCTGAATGGAAAAAGAACCTCAAGAGGATTGCTTTTGATTTTGTTCTATCTTGGCTCGTACTTTCTCTTCCAATACAGACATCTCAGTATCAAGACCAAATATTCTGTTAAGAGCGTGCATATTTTCAAGTATTTCACTCAAAGTTCGGTTTTCAGCTCCATCACATTTTAGATGCTGCATTGGTCCGTGTAGCAGCTTGTTTACTATCCCTAGACTGAGATCATAGATAGCCTTCTTCTTGTTTTGGGGGATATCATCACCCATCTTAGACAAACATTTGTCAACCTCAGCAGACCTAATTCTTTCAGCATATGCCCTGAGCTTTTTTATAGTTGGAACGGTCTCAAGGGAGTCTTTAAGTGCTTCAAATTGTTTCACTTCCTCAGCAATGATGGTCTCAGCTTCCATTTTCTTCCGCAACCGATCCTCCTTATTAGCTTCCACAACCTCTTTAAGATCATCCACATTGTAAACACCTGCACCTTCAAGTTCTGCGACACTAGGTTCCACATTCCGAGGAACAGAAATATCAATAAATAGCCTCCGGCACCCATCTTCAGAGTTCACAGAAGGGAGAGCTTGAACACTCTCCTTTATGAATAAAGGAGCTTTCGAAGCAGTGCAGGTGAATATTACATCAGACTGAGCAGCACATGCTAATAATTCTGAGAAAGGCTTGTATACTATATCAGCATCCATCAACTCCTCACGGATGGCAGCAACTCTGTCCGCTGTCCTGTTAACGACAACCATCTTTTTACACCCTTTAGCAACCAAATGTCTGATCACAAGCTTTCCCATCTTGCCAGCTCCAACAATTAACACACGAGCCGTAGAAGAAGAATACTCTGGAAGTTTCAGCAGAGCAAGCTCCACCGCCGCTGAACTGACTGATACTGATCCGCTGGAGATATTGGTCTCAGTTCTTACCCTCTTACCAGTTGTGATTGCACGCTTAAATAGCTCACTTATTTTCCTACCAAAGCCAGGGACCCCCTGCCCATTCTTAACAACCTGCTTGACCTGTGCAAGAATTTGACCTTCTCCCAGGACTAGGGAATCTAGTCCAGCAGCTACTTCAAACAGGTGTTGTGTGGCATCTTGATTGTATAGCAAAAACCGGTGTTGGCATAGCTCTGTAACTGGAACTCCACTAAACTGCCAAACAAAGATATTTGTGTCAAAATAGGTTTGCATATAAAGTACAACAAAAAGTGAACATTGTAGCATAGGGCTGTATTTCTTTGAAATTTGTGCTTAAGTAGTTAGACCTTTGCAATGACGTTAGTGAGCAGGGGAACCAAAGCACAGTAAAATAAATACAATTCCTTCGCAAATGTAGAAATACAGAGTATAAATGGCACAGCAAGTCAAAATATTTTGTTTATCGTTCAAGTGTATCTTTCATGATGGAGAATATGTAAGGTAATTCCTAAACCTTTGAAACCAACATGAATTTGTTCAAATCTTACTGCAAGCGACATAGGGTAGATGATGCTCATTAGAGTTTAATGCAGTTTTCAATGACAGTGTTGCTAGTTTATCATACAGATTTAAGATGTTAGTCAACAAAAGGAAACATTATGCAGATAAATGATGCTTGAAGAAAAAATTACCTTAGACATCCACTCAGTCACTTCTTTAATTCCACGATTTTGGGCAAGCGCCAAAACATATATTTCAATTCTGTTACAAGTACTCAATACAGCAGCTTCCTCTATATGATTCAAGGAACACAGTTCGCGAATTGCTTGAGGCCATTGTGCTTCTGGGATAGAAACTTTCTCCCGCACTTCAACTGGTGCTGTGTGAATGTTAAGTCCAATAACCATGATGCTGCTACTCTCCTTTGTATATCCTGGCACGAAAAAGTTTCCTATGTTAGACTACCTTCTTTCTCAAACATCTTAAGTAAACTCGAACTATCCAACCGCGTATCAATCAATGAACTACAATCCCCAATTAACTAGGGTCAATAATTGAATCACAGAACTCTAGCTAAAACATCATAACTTCCAAGTAAATTTAGAACCTCAATACCACAGATTATAGTTCAATCAAGGTCACAGACTTGAGATTAGAAAAATATCACAAAACTCTAGCTAAAATACCAAAACTTCAAGAGAAAAAAAAAAAGAAAGAGGCATACGATCAGCAGCAGATGTTTTGAGAAGTTCCAAAGCAGAAAGACTCGATGTTCTAGATTCCTTTTTGCCATTTTTCACCACCGAGTTGGATGATAACTCACATTTAGGGCTCAACGAATGCGATCTCGTCCAATATACCAGCGGCTTAATTCTTCGACGACTCCCGAAAAATCTAACTTGATGATCCACAGAAGGAGAAGACGACGAAGAACAAGACGTAGAACTTAAATAATCACAATTGAAACTGCCACCTGTCACAAAGCTACTCGCAACCGCCATTGAAACACAATTTGTAGAAAACAGCAATAGCGGCTATGGCGAGAGAGCTCCGAAACCCAGATTTGTAATCGAAATTCGGAACAGGTGACAGAATGGAATAGGTATGGAGGTGATGGGTTTGGTATAAAAAAAAACAATAATTGGTGAGTGGTGGGCTAATATAATTAGGCAATTTTATTTATTTGGACGGAATCGACGATAATAATGGTGGAATAGTATGACAGTGGTTGGTGATTATTGACTTTTCTGGAATGCTTATTTATAGTTTGGGGTTTTTCGATTATACATATTCCATATACGCGTTGGTTCCACACTCCAAAATTTAATAGGATTAGGAATTGGTCCAATCGTGACTACATTTAGGAACGTGTTAATAATGTCAAATGGTGGTTCCTTTTTTGACTTGGATTTGGAATTGGCACCATATTGGATTAGATTTCAAAGTACGTAAATAGAGTATTAAATCATGTTATTCTTTATTTTATTTAATATTTAAAGATTTATTAAAGGTTGTTTAGTGCATAAAGTGTTCTACGTTAGAAGATTTTTAAAAAAGATTTATATTTCAAGAGATGTGAGATAAATAGTCTATTATAATGCAAGTATTAATATATGTTTTCACGGTTCAAATATGTGACCTACATATCACACGAAGATAATATTTAGGAGTTTATTAAGAGTTTTCCGATGCATATAGCACTCTCGTTAGCAGGTTTCGAGAAAGTGTTGCATCCCAAGAGATGTGATATAAACAATTTATCCTAATGCATACATTAATTACTATTTCCACTATCTGAATCACTAACCTACATATTACACTTGGGACAATATTTGGAAATATTTTCACGTCCAATAATTATTAAATTATTACCTCACCTGTCTTTTTATAAATCACTTTTGAGGCATGAGTTTGACAATTGATAATCATCGGTTTGAATTTGAATAAAAAAATAGCAAATCCATTTCAAAGTTTTAAAAGCATACTAATGAAGAAGCTTCTTTTTTGTTGAACTATTCCATCTGATCCATTCGGATTGTTGCGGTACAGCGATAAAAATAATAATTGTACAGGTAATTAGCATGCATTCTCATTTAGACTTGTAATTCGTTATGAATTATGATAATTAGATCTCAAAGTCAAAATGATAATTTTTTCAGCGTTGTAGGCCCATAAATTTTGACAATACGAGGAATTCTTCTAAACCTTTGATTGCACAAAGTCAACTAGAAATTGAAATAACACATTATATTGCTAACAACTGTTACTCAACAAATTTGAAGATAATCTGGAAATCTTTTTATTTAATTGCACCTAATAAAATAAAATAAAGGATAAATAATGATAATGTCCGTAGATACTGTCATAAATGGTTAAACTGTGGTATCAATTAGGTCAAATTTAATAATTTAACCTGTCACGTTAACGGGCGACCCGTCCTGTAACATCAAACAAAAATAAATTGAAAAAAAAAACACAAGAAAAGATTTAAAAATTTAATGTTTTTTTTTTTTTTCTAATGGTGTTTTATCCACATAAATATGATCAGATATTCCAGAATATAGATAAAGTCAGTTAGCTGGAATTTGTGAAGCAACAGCGACGGTTGGAGCCTGGAGGATCATCAACACACAATTAACTGAATATATGTGTTGAGAGTAAGCAAAAAAATATCATTTCCATGGACTCTCAGATTCTAAAATTTTCGCCAATTATTTCTTCAAGAAATATCACTTTCAACTCCAAAAAAGCAGTTCACATTCATGGCCTGTCCAATACCCAATTCAGGGTTTCAGCAGCAAGGTCCGTTCAGAAGTCAGAGGAGGAATGGCGTGCCGTTCTCTCCCCTGATCAATTCCGGATTTTGAGGCAGAAAGGCACAGAGTATGTATCCTGCCGTATAATTTTTATTTCTTCTTTCTTCTATCTGTCGTTGCGCCTATCTGTTTAGGTAATACCAATTGGTCAGGATTATGACACAGTTGTGTTGCTACAATATTACGCTTGATAAAATAATTATGCATTTTGTTCCGGGTCTTATTTCTCCTATCAAATGACCCCTTAGTCAAAGACTAACAATGCAAGCAAGCAAAAAAAGGAATATTGCTGATTATTATAGTTATGTTGTGTGAATAATAAAGTGATTGGAATCCCTGATTTTTACTTGACAGGAATCAAGGGAGTGGGGAGTATAACAAGTTTTTTGGTGTAGGCACCTACCTCTGTGCTGGTTGTGGCACTCCACTCTACAGATCCGCAACCAAATTCAACTCACCCTGTGGCTGGCCTTCTTTTTATGAGGGTCTCCCTGGCGCCATAAATCGCAATGTGAGCTTCTTTCCAATCACACTAGCTACATTCGTATGTGACTTTTCACTTTCCAAATATTCTTCCACAACTCTTTTGGTGACTCGAACTCCCAACTTCTTTATTAGAAATTGAGTGCTCCATCAATCTCACTTCTAATGCTAGAGTTGCTATAATTACAAAAAGTTTTCCTTGACATTTTTGAGTTGTTTTGCATGATTTTTCAGCCAGACCCAGATGGCATAAGGATGGAGATAACTTGTGCTGCTTGTGGAGGCCATATTGGTCATGTTTTTAAAGGTGAATGGTTTCGTACCCCAACAAATGAACGCCATTGTGTCAACAGTATATCCCTCAAGTTCAAACCACCGCAATTTTCTTAATGCTGGCCTATATATATTTTCGTCCTGACTTTGATCTAATACTCCATTCTTTCATGTAGCTTAGCAACTTCCTGTTAGTCTGTGTATTAGGTGGAAAGGTATAGTGATATTTTGTTTGTAATTATGATCTGTATATGCTTGATGATTTTATTGAAGATAAGTAAAGAAATGAGCTATTTTCATTCAACACACGAGGATCTAACTATTACTATTACATACTTGACTACAATTGTACTTGTGCCTTATCCTTATCCCTAAGTTTGATAAACAATTTTAAATTCCAGTGCAAGTTTAGGAAATTTCATCTAAATAGTACTCCCTCTGTCCCTAATTACTTGTCCACATTTTCTTTTTTAGTTGTCCCTAATTACTTGTCCATTTTGACAAATCAAGAAAGAATAATTATTTTTATCTATTATACCCTCAATTAATTACTTTGAAAAAGGTAGAACTTCTTGAAAATATTAAGTTTTTAACTCATCAACTTCATAATTAATAGGAGTAAAACGGTAAACTCACTATATCAATTATTAATTTTTTAATAAGTGTGTCAATTCAAAAGTGAATAAGTAATTAGGGACCGAGGGAGTAAAGTCATTCAACTTGGTTACTCTTGGAATTGAAAAAAAAAACTTATTAAAAGTATTGCTTCAAAATGGGCTTTTCAATGCACAAAATTCAGATACCATAAATGAAAAATCCAAAAAAATAAAATATTTTACAACGTGACTATTGTTATTTTTGGTAAATCTTGTGAATTCACTAATAGTGAGTAAAATTCAATTAATTTAATATAAGAAAATAATTCCGTGATTTTACAATGTAACTATTGCTTTTAACAATTGACTTGGCTAAAGTTTCTATAAAAAGAAGGGATAAGGTACAGTACCCTTGCCACATGCTGATCGAAATCTTAGAAACACACTTTAACTAAACTAAAATTTTATTATACCCTGAATCAATTTTTTTTTAATAATTTCATACACCTTTTGACTTATGTGGAATCAAAATATCTCTCACGCGCCTCAACTGCGTAGAGTCACGAAGTGTGCCACGTAAGCCAAAAAGTGTACAAAATTACAAAAAAAAAAATGAGTTCAGGGGGTTATAGAACCTTAGTTTAGTTAAGGTGTGTCTCTGAGATTTCAGTCATAGTCTAAGGGAATACTTATGCCTTATCCCTAAAAAGAAATATAACATTTCAAAAATTCCGATTATATTTCATCCCCTTTTTTGAAGAGAAAGAATAACACGTCCTATTTCATTCGACTATTTGTCTTTAACAATTGACCTAACTAAAACTTTATAAGAAGAAAGATAGCCTTTCAGCGTGGTCTTACAAAGTATGATCAAGGAAGGGTAGATGTTTACCCCTACCTAAGAGGTAGAGAGATTCAGAAAAATCTTCGGCTCAAGAAAATATAGTCCAAAACACTAGTAGTCCAGAAAAAGAAATAACGAAAGTGAAAGTACAACAAAACATTCTAAAAAATAACTAAAGGAAAATAATATGACAATTGAAGTACAAAAAGCAACAAATAGTACTAAAAATCAAAGGACAAATACCTACCTGAGCAATACTAGGCTTAGAAGTATGGACGGATAGCAAGACAACACATTACTAACTACTAGCATTCTACTGTAATCAGTATCCTCTGCAACCTCCAAAGTGTCTTTCAGATAAACTGGTGCCTATTTAGCTCGGTCATTGTACAAACAAAGTCGTTGAATGTGGTTTCTTCCACTTGTATCAACTCAATATGAGAGCCACATGTCAATTCCATTACTATAAGCTTGCTTCGAAACCGTAGAGAGGCGTGTTAAAACTGTGATGAACCAACCAGCAAAGACAGCATTAGCTCCTGCAAGACATTAAATGATGAAATAATCAAACTGAATTCATCACATGCTGGATCTTTACACAAAAAGTCTAAAATGATGAAATCATCGATCTGCCCGGACTCTTCAAAGATACCTCCGGGTCTATGTAGGATCCTCCATGGGCGTGGCAACATTTTGGAGAGTCCGAGCAAAAGTTACATGGTTAGTGAGGATATATATGCCAAATACAACTAGCTAGAGATCGAAGTGTAATTGTTGTTGTAGAGTTATTTTCATGATAAAAGAAAACGACAACTCACTTGTATACAATAACTTCGACTTTTCCTTCTTTCCGAGCCTCTGATTCATCAGTCACTTGATTTCCATCAGGAGTACATATAAAATTGCACTCTGAAATTTTCCTCTAGAAATATTTGATCTTTTATCCTGCTGTTGAACTTCAGAATAACTGCTAACTTCATCGATTGTTGAGAATGCTACATCAGAGGGACAAGTAAACTCAATTGGATTTCCCATATATGACTTGCACCTAGCTAGAAATAAGAGGGAGAAAATGCGAAAGCAATGGTGGCTTACTCTGCTATCTCAATGTGGATGGAAAAGAGATGTTTTCTTCTTTCAGATTTCAGTTGGAGCCAAAGTCATCTCCCAAATTTAAGTGAACCAACATATATGTGTGGAATATGAGCTATTTTTCGCCATTCCATACCTTTTTTCTTGCAAAGCCTTTCAAGATGAGGACAGTCTTGAATTGACAAATGCTGAAGAGCATTGAGGTACTTCATTCCTTCTGGCAAAGATATCAAATGTTCGCAATTTGAAATTGCAAGAGATCTAAGAGAGGAAAGTTTAGCAAGCCAGTCAGGAAGATCTGTGAGATGAGGACTGCTATGGATTACCAGACTTTGCAATGTAGTGACATGTTGAAGGCTAACTGGCAATGGGTATAATTCAGGGCAGGAGATAATACTCAAGCTCCGTAGAGATGAGAGATTCTGGAAACTATCTCTAGATAAAGTTAACCGAGGGCAACCCATGATGGAGAGCTGTTCTAAGACTGTGAGATGGAGGAACCCACTTGAAAGATAAATTAGGTTGCTGCAATTCTCAATTGACAAGCTCTTTAGGGAATTGAAACCTGCAAATTCCTCTGATGGCAATGACTCTAAGCTGTGGCACCCGTTGATCTCAAGAAACTCCAAAGCTTGCAGCTTTCGGATTCCTGTTGGCAAATGGGTTAGTTTTTCACAGTAGCTAATGGTCAGTGACTTCAGATAAGTGAGATGTTCTATCTCTTGAGGAAGAGAAATGAAATTTTTGCATGAAAGTATTTCCACAGTCTCCAGCGATTTGTTATTCTCCAGCAATTTCCCTGAAAGGTGCACTAAACCTTGAAGCGCATCAATCACAAGATTGGAGAGTGAAGACATGTTATCCACAGACTCCAAGATCTTTGGATGGCAATCATGGAGCTCCAAATGAAGAAGAGATTGAAATGTTGGAGCAGAGATAAGATTAGGACATTTATCTACAACTAACTTTTGCAGGCGAGGAAGTACTGCTGCTCCGTTCTCTATGCAAGACCATTCTTTTAAGCAGGGAAGATCCTTGATTGTTAGGTCTTCCAGGGATGGGAATTTGAGGGGTTCGCCTCCATAAAATTCTTCACCAATATGTGTAACTCCATCCATCCCTTGTAGATAAAGTGTTTTGAGAAACGGAAGCTTCCCAAAGGTAGGTAAAGTATCACATCCCCTGCAATTGATCAAAGCAATCAGAACTAGATTAGGGAGGTCCCAATCTGGAAATCTGAATCCAGGATATCCCTTGATATATAGTTTTTTGAGATTTACATGTGGCTGAAGACACTCAATGATCCCCTCCACAACATTGTCATTATCCCTTGATAGTGATCTTGATGTACCATCAACTTCTCTGCAAACCTCGTATGAAGTAGACCCTGTTGACATCCTCACTATGTTCTCGCTTCCCCATTGGAGTCTTAACAATTCAACATATTTCTTCGCCCTCAGATTAGCCAGTGTAGCTTCTTCTTTGTCTCTGATGTTCTCCAGGCCCCTTATACTCAATTCACCTCTTATATGGGGAGAACTGATTTCAGAGATGCTTTCTCCAATCCCTTTGCCCACAATGTATAAAGGCAAAGTTTGAAGCTGAACCAAATTTCCCAGACCAGCAGGGAGACGAGTCAGTCCATTACATCCCACTATGTTAAGGTGCCTTAAGCCAGTTATATTAGCCAATCCAAAAGGTAACTCCATTAGGTTACCACAAAATGAGAGGTTCAGGGTTTGCAGATTAAAAAGGTTGCAAATAGTATGAGGGAGTGTTTGAATAGAGGTTCTGGAGAGATCAAGGTATCTCAAACATATCAAATCACTAATTGACTCGTGCACCTTCTTCACACAACCACTTAAATCAAGGACTCGCAAGTATTTAAAGTTCAGAGGAAAAGAAGAAGGAATGTCTCCGGTGCAAAACAGGAATTGGAGTGTTCGAAGATGTTTGGCACCATACAATTCCTTTGGAAGTGAAGTGGGATCTGAATGGAAAAGGATTGACAGGTGATGAACCCGTGACATGTTACCTTGAGCAAAGTCATGTCCCAATATCACGAAGTCCTGACTCCCCACACTTCGAGCAAGATCATGGATGAGATCGTGCATTTTGTATACTGCTAGATCCGTCTCATCAAATTTCTTGACTTCCTGGAAGAATGATAAACACAACAAGTCATTAAAATACTTGTTGCCTATGTCTTCCAACTGCCTGTTCCTCTCATGACATGTTATCAAGCCTTCAGCAATCCATATGTGGATCATCTTTTCCTTATGAATTTCATAATTTTTTGGATACAATGAACAGAATGCAAAGCATCGCTTGAGGTGTAGAGGCAACTGTAAGTAGCTCAACCGAAGAGCTGGCAGTATGCCACTGTTACAATTCTCAAGTTTCCAAAGTTCACTCTCTTGCACAAACATCCAATCTTCTCTTTCTCGTTTGAAGCGCAACAAACTTCCCAGTGTTTTTGCTGCCAAAGGCACACCTCCACATTTCTTGATGATCTGTTTTCCAATCTCCAATAGATTAGGATGCTCAGCTTCTTCTTCCTGGCTGAAAGCTCGTTGCTTGAACAAAACCCAACAATCATCTTCAGTCAAGCCTTGGAGACAATAAGGGGAAGTAGTTCCCACTATTGACGCAACCTTGGTACTCCGTGTAGTGACAATGATTCTACTTCCTGCTCCACCACTTTGCAATAAGTCGCCCAGCTTATCCCACTCTTCTTGGTCTTCATTCCATACATCATCCAAAACAATCAAGAATCTCTTTCCACCCAATGAATCTTGAAAATGAGCTTGAAGTAGATCCATCTCCAAGAGTTCACACTTCCTTTTTGTTGCAGACTGTATGATGCTTAACATGAGTTTACTTACATCAAAATCCCTAGACACATAAACCCATATTTTTATGTCAAAGAAATGAACGACCTTTTCATCATTATAGACTAGTTGAGCTAGAGTAGTTTTGCCAAGTCCTCCAATACCTACAATTGGGATGATAGAAAGAACCCCACCAGTTTTGCCATCACATGCAGTCAACAAAAGCTCTAAAAGCTTCTTTTTATCATCATCTCTTCCACATATTTTTGATGTTATCACAAACGATCCAGTTACTTTTGTTCTGTCATAATCGTCAGCTCGTCTTTCTGTAGTTGTTGCTCTAAGATTTAAGCTAAAGCCTTGCTTTGCAATCTCATCTAGTTCCTTAAGTTTTTTTGGTAGCATTTTTGCAAGGTCAAAAAGATGCTTTGATGGTTCAAAAGGTAGAAATAGACTGCTTACCTGTTTGCCTTTTCCACTGCGATGCTCGCACATTACACTTTCTGCAGTAAATTCATCCAGTAAGTTCTCCAACTGATAAGCTATGTCCTTGAGCTTCACCAACCAGTTTTCAACATGTTGATCCGTTTCTTGTCGCTTCTGTGCATCATCAAGAAAAGCTCTAGCAGTTGGTAGTGAATTCTGCAGTTTTTCTATGTTTTCCTTCAAATGGTAGAGATCATGGAACTTCTGCACATATGGAGTGGCTAACTTTTCAAGGATCACCTGTAAAACAGGATATAGTACCAAATCTGCCATATATTGCATTCTTAAAAGGGTAATAGAGAGAAAAGCTTGTGATTTAGAAGAGCAAACAAAGTTATAACCAAACATAAATAAAGAGAATTTCCTACTAAATTACCTCTCTCATTTTCTTGTTACAAACTGTAATTGCTTATTGGATGACAATTATTTTTGTCTCACATGTATAACCAGTTAACTACTATATGACAAGTAAATAATCAAGAAACCTCATCCAATATAATTGATAGATTTGTCTGTTGAGCTGTAATCTTGGATATATCCGTAGAGCGCGAAAATCGTACCAATGGAAATGCAGAGAAGACTGAAATTAAAGGTTCGTTATGATTTTGTGAGGATATTCCCTTCCATTGCGACGTGAATATTCCTGCATTTTGACAAATACACGGAGTGCACATTGATACAGACAAACAGAAAATGAGGAATCTTGGACGTGAATTATTAGGAGATATCTCACGTCTGTCTGAATTACTATTAGAAGTGCTTCAATTAACTGCACAATTTGAATTTTGAGACTAACAGTTTTAGTTTTACCGCAAATTTGGACATGAAATCTTCAAGTTTTTTAAAATAAAATTTATATATTTGAAAATTGCATTAAAAAATACTCCACTATTTATAAGTTTCAATAATTGACAATTAAAAAGAATATTTGAAAAAGTTATCAAAATAGATTTGTTTGAATCTTGAAATTCGAAAGTATTGCTTAAATTAAAACGAGAGAGTAGCTATATACTTTCTCTATTCCATATTAACTGAAATTTTGAGATTTTTTTCATTGTTCAATATATCGAATTGTTCAAATTCAAGATAGATGTTTGATTTATTTTTTATATATATTTATTCTTTCTTTTAATAAAGTTTAATATTTTTCTATGAGATAAATTGTACTGCTTACAAATTTATATTTATGATTTTTACAAAGAATAATAATAAAAAATATAATTTAAATCAGTTCTTAAATATTTTTATTAATAAGTATACATTGTCTCACAAATTTAATTAATATAAAATAGAAGTATATAGCGCAAATAATGCAAACCTTCCATTTTTGTGGCGGGAAAAAGTAGTTGCAAAAATAGTTGGGCAAAAAACGAGGAGAAAAAAACAAAAATGGTACCCTTACATTTGAGAATAGGTTAAAATTCAAAAGTAGTCTTTAGTCTTTAAATATACATTTTAAACAATTTATTTCATACAGGGACTAGTAAAAAAAACGTTATATCTTAAAATATCAATGAAAATAAGATAGTAGAAAAAATTTATCTCCTAATTTATATTCAAAAATGAATAAAAAGAAATATAACAAATAATTTGAGACAAAAGAAATAATCTAATTTTTAATGACATATGACGTAGCACTATTGTCTGGTAAAACATAGTAATATTTTCTTGAAAAAATAAGTAACTCTCTCACATTTAAAAAAATATATTTAACAGGTTAGAAAAGAAATTATTTTCTAAAAATATATAAAATGACAAATTAACAAACTTTTGTAATGGGATCATAAGATAAAATAGAGGAAGTAATCTTAGAGAATAGTTCATGTGATGAATAAAAGAATTAATTAAGATTCTGCACATGTGTGACAACTATTATTAAAGCATGCAAATGGATTAACATAGTTAAAGAGGTAGAATTCAAAGTGTTCTCGAATCTCATCCACGAAGAGTTAAGATTTCCCATCAGAGTTTTAACTCAACTCATTTGATACAAATTTTAAGAGATAATTAATTCTGAGATCAATTTTTATAATTTATTTTTAAATTAATTATTTTTAAATAACTTATTTTCTAACCAAAGAGTTTTTTATTATATTATATTATTTCAACTTTTGTAAGCTATAAAACATAAGAAAAAATTTACTCCACTCGTGATTTATAGTTATATAATATTTTTAATAAAAAGTTTGATTAGAGTTTAGAATTCTTCGATAATATTTTTTTAAGTTTTAAATACAAATTGCGCGTTTTTATTTGTATGAATAATGAGAGATAAGTAGGAATCTGCAGAATATCCAGTGAGGCTCTCCTGATTTTTAGTTACCATGTATTTGTGAACTACAAACACAAGATTTATTCTCCAATATTATAAAGTTAAAGAAATACAGCAAAAAAGTTTAACTCCATTATTGAGCCAAAAGAAAAGGTTAAAAATCAAGAAAACAAAGGCTTTGGGGAGGGAAGGAAGGAAAACAGTTTCCTTCCAGTCAAAGAAATAATATCTTATAGATTGTTTATTTATTTTCTTTAAATGGGGAAACAAGAACCAGACCCAAAGTCTTTGGATGATTCAAATTCAACACATAAACCTGACACATCAACTGTTGATGTGCCTGTAGCTACGAATATGGCAATACCTTCAATTCCATCGTCATTGCTTCCTCAACCTTCTTGGTTTACTGCCAAAAGGTAACTTTTTCCTTAACCCATTTGCGTGTTAAAGATGAATTTTGTGTTTTTACCAACTGGGTTTCCAAGATTTTTGAATTTCAATGTTTTTACCAACTGGGTTTCCAAGATTTCTAAATTTCAATGTTTCTTGGAATTGCAATTATAAGGTTTGATTCGCTTTTCTTGGACATTATAATCGATGAAATTGGTTATGTCTTCTAGTCATCAAGAAACAAAATTCAAGAATGATTTGCGCTGACTTTCTTGATGTAGTTACCTAATGGGATCTCCTAATTGAATTAATATTCTATATGGAATTACTGAGCTTTGCACGGAAGGTTTCTATTCCAATTCTGTTATATTTGGTATCTTATGCTTCTTGAAGTTGTCAATTTTTTATGCATTCTTGAGATTTTGTTTTCTGTAGTGTTTTTTTCACCTGATATGTTAAATCAAACTGCCAACCCCCAAATCCACACAATTGTGACCCTTTTCCCACTTTGCTCCTTTGCGACTCGAAACCCCCAAAATAAAATCTTGGTAGAAACTCGAAACCCCCAATATCTTGGTAGAAGGTAAGAGGTTCTGTCTACTAGGATATCCTGCACTTGTAAGTTGTAACCTTTATTGTTATTTTTTACTTCACCCACACTATTTGCCTCTAATGTGTCTGCTATAAATTATCAGGTTGCTTGCGGTATTCTGTGTGATCAACTTAATAAATTACGTGGATCGTGGAACTATTGCGAGCAATGGTGTTAATGGAAACCGTCGAACTTGTACGAAAGATGGTACATGTTCTTCTGGCAGCGGAATTCAGTGAGTATTCTTTTGAAATTTGCTCTATAGCCTGCTCAACTCTGAAGTGATTGATTAAAGGGAAAAAGATTTGGTTTTCGAGGCTCCACCCTAAGTTTTCTTCCTTGCTTATGTTTGATAATTATTCTCTCTGTTCTTCATTTTCTTGTTGATTTACTAATGCTTATTATTGAGAATTACAATTGTTTCCAGGATAATGTACGTTTATAATGAATTTTCCTCTCCAAATTTAGTAATGGAACTATTTTTTAATTACACATCATCATAATGTGTGCTTAGTCTTATCATGAGCTTGTTTCTGTTTGTTTGCAGGGGTGAATTTAATTTGAGTAATTTTCAGGATGGGGTCATATCATCTGCTTTCATGGTTGGGCTTCTGGTGGCATCTCCAATATTTGCCTCCTTCGCCAAGAGGTAAATCCCAGTATATTACAGGCTTTTGATATCTTGTTGCAGATATATTTCAGACTTAAGAACATTAACTTTGGGAAGTTTATTTGCTGGCGCCTGAGAGAAGTAGGATTTAACAATTGAAACCATCTTTATATGATTTGAGAAAGTGGAAGATTTCATTCATGTTACCTATTAGTTTGACTCTTAATCCTTTTCACCATATGCCAAATGATTTGACCCTTACCACAGGTGAAAACATTTTCTGAAGACTTAATATAGTATGCAACTTTTCATGCACATGATAGTTGTAAGATTTAGGAATGAAGTTATGACAATATGATGGAAGTGATGTTGAGATGGTTCAAACATGTAAAGATTAGGTGCGGCAGTACACCAGTAAGAAGGTGCGAGAGGTTGGTTATAGAAGGTTTTAGTTGGGGTAGAGGAGGTAGAAGTAGACCGAAGAGGAACGGGAGGAGTTGATTAGACCAGACATGACACATCTTCAACTTACTATGGACATGGCCCTAGATTGGAAGGTTTGGAGATCGAGGATAAGGGTAGAAGGGTAGTAGATAGCCAAGTGTTGTCATACTTTTATGTGTGAGAGGCCCCCTGCCTCTTCTCATCTTGTCCTTATTTAGTAGTATTAGTTAGTATTCACTTAGCATCTTTTTCTTCAATTTTCACTACTAGGTTGCCGTACCTATTGCTTCATCTGCTCTATTTATCTTGCTATTTTGTTGCCTTTATTTCTTCTTCAGTCCTGCTTTGATTATACTTATTTTGAGCCAAGTTTTTATCGAATACAACCTCTCTAACCCCACCTACAAAGGTAGGGGTAATGTCTCTACATCCTACCTTCTCCAGACCCCACTTTTGGGACTACATTGGGTATGTTGTTGTTGTTTATTTGCAAGTGTAAGATGTACTGTCAATATGTTGGAAGAAATTTTGACTCTATTCTCATGAATTACTTGTTGGTAAAAGATAGCAAAGCCTTTGTAAATGTAACAAAAACCATGTTAAAATCCCTATTAGAGGGTTGGGCCCTACCAAATTTTCTTTCCATTTAACTTCTTTGCTGTAGTACATGAATCTAATTAGAGCAGACCATTGAACTCACAAGTTTAGTCAAGAGCAAATCACACTACATCCTAAAAAAGAATCCTCTTTTCCTTCTATATTTGGCATACCTGAAGATGCATTTCTTTCTATGGCTGTCAGAGTTGAAGTAGAACTGTCTTATTTTCAGTTTGCAACTTTGTCATATAATTTGCTTAGGAATAGTATCAGACAGAGTTTAACTAGGGAAAGGAAAAATACGCAAATTGTATGCATATTCTTGCTTCTTTAGTTCAATCAATTGCTTGAGTTTCTTACCCATGTGTTTGTTAACTCTGCAGGGTCAATCCGTTTAGACTTATTGGAGTTGGACTGACAGTGTGGACAATAGCTATTGTTGGTTGTGGTTTCTCAATTAATTTCTGGTTCATTGCAACATGCAGAATGTAAGTCTAACCATATTACTCTTCACAAGCTGTCAAACTGGGCTAACTTATTACACATAGATGGCCTAATTAGTTTAATAGAGATGTCTTTATTATTGTCTTTAGCAAGCTAGTCTTTGATATGTCCTGGGGAAGATTACAAAAGGATAACCTTGTTATAGGTTGTTAGCTTCAATCCTTGCTTAGCTAGTATATTTGCTACGTAGTTATCCTGCCTGAAGTTATGTTCAACTAGTGGATTCTGCAAAGTCTTTAACAGTGATTTGCATTCAAGGTTAATAGATTCATAAGGGGAAAGAAAATTGTGTGTGTGTGTTGGGGGTGGGGGGGGGGGGGGGGGGGGTTGAAGGGGGAAAGCGTATCTTCGTTTACATTAATATCTTTTCTTTTCCAGGCTGGTGGGTGTTGGTGAGGCATCTTTCATAAGCCTTGCTGCTCCTTTTATTGATGATAACGCGCCTGTTGCTCAGGTTTGTTGTTTTAACATTTATGTTTTTTTGTGACTGATAATTTCCAATAGAGGTCGCATTTAATACTACTGCTAATATGATGGTTGTTCTTCTATACTTCTATCCCATTTCATTCTCTGCTGATTACACCGCAATGTGTAAGTACTGAGATCTTTCTTTTCAATATCTGTGCTTAATCAACTTCCTGAGGGCCCAACTAAGCTATTATAACAGTATTCTAGGAAGTCATATATTTTATAATACCATCTTGGTACTTTATTAATAAAACTTGACCTTATAAAAAAAGCAACCTTTGTAGTACACTTGCTGAAAGCTCATGGAATAGTGGAAGCAAACAAATATGCGAAGCTCGCTCGCTATGAAAGAAAAAATAATAGGTAGAATTTGAATTACACATTAGAAAAACACAAATTCAAATATTTAACCTAACTTGAATCCTAGTTATCACTGATGATCATTCAAACCCAAAGACAATAACGGTTAAATCAAAGGAAGAATCAGATAAAGAATATAATTAGATTCAGTCGCAAACAGATTTGTAAGAACCTATTAATTAATATTCCAAACAAGATTCAATAGAAAGAAAGATAGATAAAATCAACCCAGAGAACTAAAAGAAACAAGAGGGAGAACAAAATGAACTCATACAAAAAATTCTACCCTAAAGATTCAAGCTCAATTTAAAGAATAAGATCAATTGGAATAATATGGCCGTTATTACTGGACTTGTTGAAGAGATTAAATATAATCAAGGTATATCTTTTTTATCAGAGGTTGAATCGATCATCAGAAGAAGAATTAGGCCAAAAATTAGGATACAATCTCTACGCTTAGAGTGCTATTCTTTTCTAAAAAAAAAAGTCTTAACTAATGTAATGATGTAATTCCATGCAAATATGGCTATCCGGTGAATATGAGGTCCCATTCACTATTCATGGTCAGGCAAAAAGGGACCACTAGCCTAGAGAATATGCCCTGAGTTCACCAGCGTTCCCGAAGATGAAGGGGAAGAAAGGGATCCTAGAGACAGAGTTAACCGGAGGAGGCCTGAAATGAAACCGGAAGGGAAGCCACAGGAGTAGGAGTGGCGAGAAAGTGAAAGAGGAAAGGTTAGTGATGACAGCATAGGACACAAAAAGTTCCTTCTCTCTCTTTTGAATCCCAGGGATTGCCTCTCAATATCTACGCCTAGAAAGCGTCAAAATTAGGCTAAGCCCTTCAAAATTAGACTTCTCCAAAGGTAAAAACTAACTCAAAATAAGTCTAGGGTTCTAATTATAGTTCCTTTGAAAGTGTGCAAACATAGCTCACCCCCAAATAATTAAAAATCTCACCAGACTTGTGAGGCCATGGAACAGAAAACCCCTTAATGCCACGGCTTTAATTTTCAGGCCACGACCTCAACTTTGAGACATCAATCTTGCATCTCCTGCCTTTTGAGGACATGGTTTCAAGCTTGCAGCCACAATTTTAATCTCATTTTTTCCAAGTTGGCTCCATATTCTCTTCCAATACTGACGTCACAAGCACATATACATATTTATGAGGCAAGCCATTTTGGCTCTCCTCACGAACTTGCGTTTGATCGCTCCTTTGAATGTTATAAAAAGGCTATTATTGTTAGAATGGGCTTTGGATGTTATCACTTGTGGTGTTAAGACAACAAACGATGTTATTAGTGAGTCAACTCTTTTCTCTCAGATGCTGGAATATTACCCATATTACCTGGGGTCCATGAATCACTAGATTCCCCGATAAAGGAGATATTACCTAGTCCATGAATCACTAGATTCCCTGATAAAGGGGCGATTTCAATTCCCCTTAAAATTTAAGTTAATGACTTAGGCTTGATAAAACTATATCCCTGCTGTGCTTAAAGCAACTTCTGAGGTCATTCTTTAAATTGTTTGACCCACTGAACTTATCAAGTTACTTTATTGAGATGGCTTCTTTGGCTTTTAGACTATTGTGTTTTCTAGTGTTAGAGAACTTAAATTGCTGAATATTGAGATGAAACTGCTTCAAATGGAGTGAATTGGATAATGAGGATTCATATATCCAACTCTGATTAGCTCAGGATTGAAGCTTAGTTTTTTGTTGTTGTCTGACTGTTTGGAAATAAGTATGACTAGGCTTTATGCAGGTCTTCATTTTAAAAAAAATTCAAGTGAACACTGATTCCAATTCACCATTGAACATCAAACTGAAAATCTTTTGTGCAATCACTTGTTTTTTGCATGCTTCTTCAACTTCATTGCTGCTTGGGTATATCTCTTGATGCTTTTGCATATGGTATATTTTTTGAATGCTAATTCTCTTCTTTTATCCAGAAAACAGCATGGCTGGGAATATTTTACATGTGTATACCAACTGGGGTAGCATTTGGCTATGTATATGGTGGACTGGTAATCTCACTCTTCAGCGGTCAAGTTGAATGTTCTCTTGTGGAATGTGATTCGTTGTTCATACTAATTTTTACTAATGTTCCTCACTTTGATAGGTTGGCAATAATCTTAGCTGGCGTTGGGCATTTTGGATAGAGGCATTACTAATGCTTCCCTTTGCAGTTTTAGGTTTATTTATGAAACCATTGCAATTAAAAGGTAACAGTAAATTAGTCTTTTGGTCTTATCCTGTATGCATTTTCTGATATTTCTTTGAATGTTTATACAGGATTCTCTCACACCGGATCAAAAAAACCATTAACTTCTCCTCTGACTGCTTGCCCAGAAGAAGGTAGTGCCTATTATCATACAAATGTCTATTTCACTTTGTCTACTTAGGCAACAGAGAAGTGTGATTCTTGTCCTAACTTTGATCATTTTTGCTCAGCATGACCTACCTTCTCTGGCATTTTGTTGTTGGAAGTTTCTCTGTGCTCAACTTAGTTACTTTGTGAACAAAAATAGTGTTGGAAAGAATCTTTATTTTGAAAGAAAAATATTAAATTGTTATAGTTGAATGGATAAAAGAACTAGGGGCTTAGTGGAACTCCTCAATTGCTAAACTGGAAAGCTTCTCTCTAGGTTTCTTTACTTAGAGTTTGTCCATGATTATCTTTTGTAGTAATTAAAGGAGTATAGGATAGTCCAAAAATAAATAAATGTGTGCCAGCTTGCAGTTCTTCCATTTGTATCAGCTTGATAACATTCTTTGTATGGCTTGATATAAATATACTACTTAGTAATATAAGTTGAATTGGTTGGAAAGTAGGTTAGGTGCTTCGTTGACAAACAGTTGTGTGGAGCAATTAAAATAAAGATCTACTCTTGATCCTTTTCATTTACTTCCACCAGATACAAAGATACTTGAAGTGAAAGAACAATAAGCGATAGCTTTGTATCTGTGAACTTGATCAGTGTTTCTTAGCTTTTCCCCCCTTTAGGTGTTCTGTATGCACTTAACTTGTCGTGGTTTTCTCGATTGAACCATTATTTGACCCCAACTCTTGTCATTAATGCAGCTGTTTTGAATTGTAGCAATGGTTTGTCATCAACACGGGAAGATCCCAAGGATGGGTAAGGAATCTTCATAAAACTTGTGATGTTTTTGATGGTCTTAAGACGGCCAAAATCTATCACCCATCCGGCAAACATGATTAAGTATGAGCAATATGTCTTCTGCTTTCACTCAGTTGACTTCTTTCTTGCTTTGTTCTCCTTTCTACAGCTCGAAAGGTGCTCCTAGCAATTTGAATGAGTTGGCAAGATTTTGGAAGGATCTGAAAATGCTTCATCTTGAAAAGACTTATGTCATCAATGTCCTAGGTATTTTATTAACTTTTGTTACCTTCAATTTTTTCATGCTACCTCTTCTTTGGATCCCAATATTGGAACATGTTGATGAACCTTTTCTGGATGTCTTTCCTAAAATAAAGAGATCTCACTTATTCTTTAAACTTTTTATGCAAGTTTCTCCACTCTGATTCTCAACTTGAGTGGTTTCTTGCAGGATACATAGCATATAATTTTGTAATTGGTGCATATTCCTATTGGGGACCCAAGGCTGGTTATTACATATACCATATGGTAAGCTCTCAGATCCACTATCCCGCTTCACAACTATTCTCAAGGGTTAAGTTTATGCTTGCATGATTCTGTTAATTTTACTCTTTCACTGTCCTTGGTTACACATTTTGGAAGTTGCTTTGTACAAGTGAGCAATAACATTCCTTTTGAGCCAAGGGCTATTGGAAATGGCCTCTCTACCCCACAAAGGCAGGGGTCAGGTCTGTGTACATCCTACCCTCCCCACACCCCACTCGTGGGATTACGCTGGGTATGTTGTTGTTTCTATGTACCAGTGAAATGAGCTCAATTTGATCATGCCGCATCCGCTGACATTCTTTTGGTTTGCATCATCTGGTTATGCTGCTCAGCTTTACGTGAACCAATCAAATACCACAATAGCATTAAGTACATGTTAGCTGATCTGTAATTGGTGTTTCTGCAGAAAAATGCAGACATGATGTTTGGAGGTATTACTGTTATATCTGGAATATTCGGAACCTTGGCCGGAGGCTTTGTTTTGGATCGAATGACGTCCACAATATCCAATGCCTTTAAGGTGGGGTACTTTGTTCCTAAGATTCTGTTTAATCTCTAGAAATATTTCTCATTTAATCCAGTGTCCAATGTGAAGATCATTCATTCTTTGCTAAATATAAAACAAACAAGACTTTCTCAATCTGGGTTAAAATTATCCAAGAACTGATTCTTTTGACTTGTACAACTCTTGCTCCCTGTTTCAATTTTCTCAAATTCGCAGTTTTTAGAAGGATGATCTATGATGTTCATTTTTTATGTTAATGACATATCTTCTCTTCTGGTGTTTTCATTTGAATCCTTCAAAACCCTGCTGCTAATGATGTCACTATTTTGTACTGCAGCTTCTCTCAGTGGCAACATTTCTTGGAGCAATATTTTGCTTTGCTGCCTTTTGTTTTAAGAGTTTATATGCTTTCATCCCTCTTTTTGCAATAGGAGAACTGCTTGTATTTGCAACACAGGTAATTCTATTAATCTAATCCAGTACTCTTTATTGTAAATTTGTCTACTTCTTTGTACACTAGTTCAATGGAGTTAACGTTTGGAAATGCTTTCTGCAAAATGTTTTTTCCCTAATTTCCTCGGTTCCTTTACTTTATATTATACATAAATGTGATGAAGTGTGTCATTTTTTTAGGCAAAAAAACGTTATTTAACTACCAAAATTGTTTGGATGACTGATCTTATCCCCCATACATCCTTTTTTTCCATTCTCTTGAAGTTCTCAAAAGAGTAATTGGCTTTCACTTAGTTAAGATGTATAATTAGTTGTATTTTAGGGTTGATACTGTTTGTTTCGAGCTTTACTTCATCTTACATTAAAGCATCTGACTGCAGGGCCCTGTAAACTATGTCTGTCTCCATTCCGTCAATCCAGGTTTGAGACCACTGGCTATGGCGATGTCTACTGTTTCAATTCACATATTTGGTGATGTGCCTTCCTCTCCTCTTGTGGGGGTTGTCCAGGTTTGAGCTTGCTTGTTGATCTTGTTTTGCAACTTATATTTCTCTCTTTCAAGAGTTCTTTTTTCCGCTTCAAAAGATACAGACACATTTTATATGAGCTTTGCTAATGTTATACATGGCTTTAATAGGTTAGCGTTGTCCACATTTTTTATTTTTCTTAATGTTCCTAACCTCATCATTCAGATCCTCTGTTTTGTTCCCTTTTTCTGGCTATTCCTCTCAATTTGATTCTTGAGCATACTCTTCTCTATTTCTTTCTCTGGCAAACTCCTTCCCATTCCTTTCTCCGACTAACCCCTCACCCACCCCAAAACCCCTTTTTGTTTTTTCCCTTTTCTCTTGTATATACACACATTGAAAGCAAGCCTTACTATTTGTTGTGGTGTGCCGGCTATCTGCAGTATTGTCACTGAAGTTTTACACCTTCCTGCGGGCGGAGGATATTCGTACCCCCGACGGCAGAGAACAGTGAAGCTTCATTCAGCCCGCTTTCATTGTTTATCGAACATTCTAGTTTTGAAGTTCTGTGAGAACATAATATTTTGTAGAGGGAAGAGGCCTAGTGATTGTTCCCAATGTGCTGTTTCGAATCATCAGTTGGTGGTTGCCTCTTTGGCAGATAATGAATAACGATGGAAATAAGGAAAAAGAGAATATGCTTTTGTTCCCTCTTCTCATAGCAGTGAATAAAATACCATACAATCTGAAATATGGTGGCTTTGATAAAAAGGGAACCATGTTTTACAAGTGCAAGATTGTTCTCTTTCTCCCCTGATAGTCTTCTTTTCTCCTCCAATAGTCACAAGAATGTGGAAGTGCAAGCTGCTTTTGTATGAACAGAAAATCTGTAGTTGAACTTATAGTTCCTTGTCAAAAATAAATATTCAGTTCAACTTATAGTACATGAAAGACATGAAGCCTGTAGTATGGGTGTAGCAGTAGTAAAAGTTATAATTGTAACTATGTCGTTCATTTTATGGTTCTGGATAACATTGATCAATATGCTCCTATGTCTTCTCTTGTACAGGATCGCATTAACAATTGGAGGGTCACTGCTTTGATGTTGACATCAGTTCTATTTATAGCGGCTGGAATATGGTTTATAGGTATATTGTACTCTCATTGAACGCCTCAGAATCCAAATCTTTATCCTTGAAATGAGTCCTACTTGATGTCATTGGCAATACATTTAGGGTGGTTGTTGATGATATTTTTTAATGCACTTTTTTATGTGTAGGCATCTTTATTCACAGCGTTGATAGATCCAACGAAGATAGTGAGAATCAAATAAGTGATGCCGAGAGAGCAAGGTCACAACCATTGCTCAAGGAGAAAAGTAATGAACCAATTGAGGTCCCTGTTGAATCCTCCTAGTATTTGGTCGTGTAGCTACTGGACAAACGAAATGTAAATTCTTTGGTTCTTTTTCTCTTGATAATGGTTGTTTTTGGGCCCGGTTTTGCACGTACCTCGACTATTTCACCTTTGTACCTGCCACCTCCCATTGGCACATGTACCATATAACTCTGTCCTCCGAGGCTTAATGTAAATTCTTTGATTCTTATCTTTGTGTAAATAATGTTGCAAATCCATCAAGAGAAGTAGTTGAATTTGTTCATATAGGTGAGAATCATCAAAAGTAACTTCAGCATTAAGGTTTGTATACCTCATATTTGACCACATTATATTGTATCTCATTTCTATACTTCTATTTTTTGCTTTGTTTTGTTAAAAATAAATTCCTTATATTAGTAGAGAAAAGGGGAATAGGATGACTTCTTATCGATTTTGTTCTTATCAGGTCCTAAATCAAAAGATTATTTAAATATCACAATTATCCCTACATAATTATATAAAAGCATTAACCACAATAAAACCTCTTCACGTACATTACATTTAAATAACTCTTTTAAATTTGATATTTAGATGGCATTAGCTCCTCAGAATTTTCATTGCCTAATAAGATTATTGATAAAACATTGCAAGAAGCTACACAACACTTAAATGGTTAGAATGGCTTAGCTAAAGGTAAACCAGTTCTAATTTTCAATTGATGCATTTGGAAAATGAAGATTAATTCATATATCAATACACCTGTTTTCGTTCTGGATAACTTACAAACGCTACTGGATGAACAAAATTATTGATGATAAAATGAAAAACAGTAGCTTATAACAACAAGTCGTCTTAAAAATATGAATTGGCTTCCACCTCAGAAGAAAGAGTACAATCATGGGGACAATTTCCATGTCCAGTTTAGGTTACAAGCAGGAAAACTAGCAGCGGCTTAAGCTCAATTAATCAGCATTTATACAAGTGAAAGCTCACCAGCAGCGATTGATCTCTTGACCAGCTTTGCCCAAGATTCATTGGTTTCCGTAATAATCTTAAGAGCGTAATCCTGATAGTGCAAGGTAAAACGATCATTAGCACGGTCATCCAGAGCAAGGGAGAACAGTAATACAAAGACTAAACCTCTTTATCACATAGAAGGAGACCTATAGAATGTTGTAAGGATTACTAGTTACCAATATAATTATTATACTTTGACATTGTGTGCTGCACTGAATCAAAAGCAATTGCAGGATCTTGCAGTTATATATGAAACCACTGAAGGAGAGGGTGGATTCATCTTATATAACACAATGGGCATGCAAATCAAGCAATTGCCATTGACAATTTTCTTTGGTGAAGAGCAATTGCCAATTTTCTAAACATTACTATCATGTCGGTTGGAAAATTTATGTTAGTTCTGTTTGAAAGTATGATGTTTCAAGAAACTAAGGGGAAATAGAAACAAGGATCTTCGAATAAATCACATTTAACCAAAAACTTCTATGAAAGCAATTACCTTGTTTGCTGGCTTGTTGCCAAGAGCAAACCTATTGGCAGGTTTTCCATCAGGTATCTTATAGTCTCTAAACCAGTCCCTGATTGCTGTGAGAGTGCCCTGAAAGATTCACAGAATTAATTCAAACAATATTGACAAGTTAACAGGAAATTAATAAGGAACTTGCCTAATAAAGAATCCACACACTGATTCAATTCACTACTACTGCTAGCAGAAAGGACGATAATAGAAAAATTGAATTGAAAAGGCTTAGCTCAGATGATTAGACTGAGATGCTGCGACCAAAAGACCAGAGTTTCAACCCACATCAGCATCATATTGTGGGCATTACTCAAAACACAGTTTCTCAAACAGGCTTGCTTCTCTAGAACTGTTAGCATTCAAGAGCATTTACTTCCTTCTAGAAATAGCAAGAAACTAAGGAACTTCATTCAGCAGGTTAAAGTGGACCACTAGTCTCTCTGTGGAATCACTGCTATGTTTTAGTACCATAATCAAGAACATTAAAACTTATCATTACATGTATACTGATATTAACAAGTAAGAATCTTAATCAGTAGCGATAAGATGTGCAAAACATTTGGAGTAGCGAAATTCCAGTACAGAGTTTATCTCGACAACATGTCAAACAGTTAGATTAGGGACAACACAGTTACTTCAAACAGGAAGGTGACTATCAGCAGTTAGAGGTATCATATAACCCACAATAATCTAAAGGAGGAGTTACTAGATGGGCATGATTTTTTTTTCATACAATGTGATAGCAAAGGTAACAAAATGAGACTAAAAAGAATATGGGAACTTGCATTATTTATACAAAAGTTTTTGTCTCCACGAAGCAAGTTATACCAATGTTACTATCTGGTTGAGGAAACAAAAGCAAGATTCACATATACATAGTATTTTGCATGCCTCTGCTATTTCTTAGTCAGTGAAACTAATAGTTAATAGGGAAGCCAATATCCTATAACGGCCGCTTCCACTCATTGGATCTTCGTGTCAGTGCTTACTGTCTCCCATTATCATCGCAACTTTAATGCTTTTCCATAGCTTTGCATAGATAACCTAGAATACTGCTAACTTTCTTTAACGCCTCTCAATCCAACAAAGTATGCAGCTATATTTCAAAAGATATCAAGATCACTCATTTTTTGCATATTATAGTCTTTCTGTTATTTCTATCGATGTTCCTAGGAAATGATCAAGACTTCAAGCTCTAGTTAGCTGGTTCTTTTTTTTTTTGAAATAGGTAACTTTGTATTCACACAAAAGAACTCATCAAAATCGATGAGGTGGGATTTACAAACCTCCAGGGGGTGCCATCATACTCAAAATCCAAAAAGACAACTTTCAAAAATTTACAATTGGCTAATAAACTCCACAAGGCTATCTACTTCCCCCACTAAATTTTGCTTACACCAAAAATACAAAAGACTAAGACATCTCATCTTGATCTCCTGTGAACTGCTAGCCTTTCCTTCATAACATCTCCCATTCCTTTCTTTCCATAGTGTCCACCATATGCAAGCAGGGATATTTTTCCACCAATCTTCTGGTTCTTATGATAAATTAACCAAACTCTTCATTAAAAAATGATAAAGTAACCGTAGAAGACTTTGCAAGACAAGTCTGAGGTAAGCTAACAGAAATTGAAAAGGAGATTCCAAGAAAATTATTTTTAACCGAAGAGGCATATCACAGCACAACAAAGAAAGCGAGAGATAGAGAAAGAGAGAGTGATGCATAAATGTGTTGCACAAGCATAAGCAGTGCGAGAGAAAGGAGAGTCAACAAAAGATAGCAGTTTCATTGCCCTTCAAACATACCGGAAAATGTTTTTCCACATCATCAACATCATTAACAAGTGAAGCTCTTGGATCATCTAGTGAAATAGCAACTATTTTCCAGTCAAGTTCTCCTTCATCAATCATTGCCAGAGCAGCTAAAGGTTTGACCTTCAGAACCTGGCCAATTTTACCTCGGCTTTCCCCAATCTCAACAACATCAACTACAAATGAGAAAAAAACATAGAGAGATTCAACTAATAAGACAATCTCTAACACCATTGTTTTTTCTATTCTTTTTGTTTTGATAGATGACCAGAAGAAAGTTGTTAACTATTTAGAACTATGCAACCATACCAGGGTCATTATCACCAAATGCCCCCTCAACTTCGGTGTTCGCAAAAGTAGGATCTTCCCATGTTTGAGGAAGCAATCCATAGTTCCAGTGAATATTATATCTGAGAGATGCATAAGAAATGCATAACATAAAAAAAAAAAAACAGACCTTAGAAACTAGACAACTCCAGGCAGCTATGACGACACATAATCAGTGATGTACAAATCTCATCAGTCTAAGATTGAGGAGCGAGTGCATCTGTCATTGCTAAACAAAAAGCATATGTAACAGACCTAAACGTATTGACCCACAGAAAACTGCAGTTAACTCATACAGACAATTGCTTGCAAATGACAATAGGTCAAAATCCCACGCCAACTAAAAGCGGAATGGGTAGGAAACCAAGAAGATAATTACGTCTGACAATGTAACATACTAAAAGAATGTTGAAAAGTGGCATAATAGGCTTACGGATAGTATCGAAGTTTCCCCTTCTTCGTGTCTTGTTTAATTGGAGTGTGTTGCTCATCTGTAGCAACTTCCATCTTTGCACTTGATTCTTTGGGGATCTCAACAACAAAATTGAAAACACCATCACCCAAATGTAGTGGTATGTCATGCCAAGGGGATATCTGCACATTACAAAGATACGATATAATATGTTGCAACTATTGTACCTAGACAAACCAAAAGCTCTGTTTTTTTCACTAAGTAAACGCTAACAAAGATGAATATGCTATTTATCCTCACAGTTATCAGTGGATTTTATCGTTGACTTCCCTTCTTTGGATCATTGCTAAACTACAGAATGTGGAAATGTTTCACTGAACAAATTTCATAAACAAATCTCGCAATTAGGCATTTCATCATTGTGTCAATCCATCAACGGATTACATCTCAATCCAAGCTACTAGAGGCCAGAGCTAAGTGATTCTCTGTAACTACTCCGCTCTATTCAGGCTCATTTCACAGAATAGTGAAATTTCCAGACTACAACATCCCGATAATGAAAATCCACTGTCAAGTAGAAGGTAGAGACAAGTATTTACCTTTTTGCCGGAATTGTCTGCAAAAAACACACGGTAATCTAGGGTTTCGGGCTGTCCTTCTTCTATAGTCTGAATCTGTGGATTGTAGATTGCACTGCACGTGAAAAGACGCCTCTTTTGCACCGGTCCGTTTCTGAAGCAAAGGCTGAAATTGTTGGGCCTTCGTAATGGACCTTTCGATAGGAGCGAAGCCGTTAAAGTGTTGCTGGTTGATACCATGACTCTTGCAGCCGCCATTGCTGTTTCGCTGGCAAGTGTTCAGTCCCAAAAGGCAAGAGATATAATTGGAGAAGAGAAAACAGTGAAAGTTGCTAGTGCTGTTGCTATCAGCCTATCACTGCCTAACATCAACCACAGTCCACATATATACAAATGGTATGGTCTGATTCGTTTGTTACAATACTCCTTTTTTTTTCGATAATGGAAATGACAATATTTATGACTATTACGTTTACTTGTTCAATTTTTATATAAATTTAAGTATTATATATATTCAAAGTTAGAGGGCATATATACAAACTAAATCAAGTATTGCTTCTTTACCTCTTTGTCTTTTGTATTTTTTTCCCCTCTTTTTGATGTGATATCTTTTATTTA